TAAGACGAAAGCTTCCAGAAGTGGCAATAATCGGGGAAGCGGTCATAAACGGCACGCCTGCCCCCTCCTCTTCTCCCCCGGCGTCGGAACAGAGGATAATTCGATTCACGAGGGAGGTACTCGAGTAACGAGCTGGAAAACCTGGGTAGCTCCGCCGGAGAAACACCGTATAAATAAAAACTGAACGGGACGGGAGAGTGGTTAGTTGCGTGGAATTCTCTCCCAGCACGGGGAGAACTTCCTCCTCGAGCGGCGCCGAATGATAATTGCGTTTCTGCCGGCGTTAATGTACAAACTGCGCGAATTTCTCCGGGGACCCTGTCCGGGATCAAGAAACGTCTTACATTCAGACCTTTCTTGAGTCCTTCGGAACGCATTTGCGCCCTCGGATTCCTCTGCAACTTGTTTCCTCGGATCTCTGGATAACCGTATAAACTGAAATCCCATTTGATGAGAAATTAACCGTTTCACTCGACTCCGATTTCCGAAATCGTTCATCTAACGTTCACACTCAACTTTGATAATCGGGCACAGAGAGTTCTATAAGAACTATAGATTCAAGAATCGAATATTAACCCTTTGCACTTCCAAGCTTTTCACTAGAAATCACTATTTGAAACGAACCAATGAGAAAACATACCTAAATTGAGAAACGAAGCTATTTTATATAAATGCTTCACATATTGTTGCATTATAGAAAACTTAATATTATATACAACACTTTGTAATTTTGTTATATCGAATCGAATGGCGACTGAGAGTCACCTCTCGAGCGCGAAGGGTTAAATTTCGAAACATTGTGGAATTACGTATCGCCGAGGCGTGTACTTTCAGCGTGCACAGTCTATTCCGCGCCCGTCGAATCCGAGTCAGCCCAGAAAATCGATCTTCCCGGGGATTCGATATTTCCCCTGTCAGGAGAACGAAGTCGATCCATTAGCCGGTGCTTCGGCGCTTTTACTTTCGTGCGGTGCCTGTCTATTACATTCTTGTTCCCGCCGGATTTCGCAGTTACCCACGTCGCGAGGCAACCTTTGTCCATGAGACCGGCCGGTTTAATAACATGATTCAAGGAGCGGCAGCGATCGGCGCATTAAGGTCAGCTAGGTCGAGGTGTATAAAGATAATAGCCCAGCCACCGACCGGCGGGCCGGTCGGCCGGCCGACCGACCGGACGAAACAACGAATAAGTTCTCTTCGTGTCCAAGTATGTAACGCGCGCGTGAGAGATTCATTAAGCGTCCAGCTTTCGGAAACGTATCCCATCGCCCCCTGACATTTGCTCCATCCCCGTGACTGACGGATCGCTAGAGACGAAAATGATTTCCTCGCCCGACTAATTGTCAGTCACGCCGCGCGCGTTCACTCTCATTATACCCTGTTCATTGGTTAAGGAAACCGCGCTCTTAACGCCGAGCCATTATTCACCAGTAACATTCGCGTTAATTACGCACCGCGAAAGGGCGAACGAAGCGATGTTACGTTCGAACGCCGCAGAAGTTCAGGAATAAGTATCTCTCGGGCGGACTGTTTACGCGAAACACTGTTTTCCGACGAAGTTTCTTCGGCGGAACCTTTCGAAGTTAATAGACCGGTTATTATTTTCGAAAGTGGGAGCACCGGCGACCGTAGAATCGCTTTCACGCCGGGGTATCAACTCTGAAATTCCGCTCTCGGAAGTTTCCCCGACAAAAACACTCCCGTGAAACGATCCTCCAAAACTGTAACTTTCTCTGGATTCTTCGGTTTTACCGAGGTGTTTCTTGCCGCTCTCCTTGGAACGTCAGAAAATCTACGCGCGGTAATTCGCGTAATCTCGCAGGAGTCACACGCAAATCGGCCTCGGATCGTGAGAAGATCGTCGCGTGATCCGCCAATGGTTCGCGCACCAAGGAAATCCTGTCCACCGTCGAAGACTTTCGGGGTTCCCACTAATGATGAAATCGACCGATGAACGGCGTAGATCCGTGGTAACGGGTCACGGGGGTCAGGCCGCGCAAAAATAATAATCAATCGAACGACCGGCAAGTGAGCGAGCCGGGCAATTACGCGGTGGCGGCGGTGCCTGTGCTGCGGTT